GTCACCATGTGAGTTAAGCTTCCAGACATGCACTTATTACATATCTAATGGCAAACAGCCCATAAGACCTTTTCTTATTTATCCTGCAGTTTCTGCTGATGAGGTCAGGTCTGGGGTGTATTCAGGTTAGGCTGCAGGGCATGTTCAGGTCCTCTCATCTGAATCTGCACAGCTCTACAGGTTGCACATCATATTTCAAATGGTTTCTAATTGCTTCAGTTTTCTGGAAGCACCTAAATCCCCTGAAAGCCTGCAGGTTTAAACAAATTATCCTTAAAAATTAACATAAGAAGAGAAAAGCTCTATTAAATGCCATATGCTTTTTTAACTTGAATGCTACTGTGTTAAAGGAAAAATAGTCCCTGAAATGAATCATCAGAAGAAAGACACATCAGTTGCGGGAAATTTTAATAAGCTGTTCTGTGTGTTAAAATGAATCTCAACGCCAATATTATATTGTGAAATCAATCACCCTTAATCCTTCCATCTCTGAAAATTTGCTCTGAATTTGAGGCCAAACCCAAATCTGCTGCTTTCTCTGCTTAGGGCACAGAAAGTGCAGCCACAGGTTTATGCAGTGACTCAGCTGTAAACACCATCCCATTGTTCCCAGTTTGTCCTTTCAGTAGCATAGAAGCTGGACAAGCAGCCAGGTCCTAGTCATCAGAGGGCTCCTGTCTGACATATAAGCAGCCAGGCACAGACCAAGGTTAGCAAAACCACAGCTGGCCCCATGGGAACAGCTTTTCAGTCAACAAGAGCGGGGCTAGCTGAGAGCTGGAGGTGAAGTGCAAGCTCCAGGCAGATATCAGGAAGCACCTGGGAGGGTGGCTTTTGGGAAGGACTTGCCAGCAGCAGCCATTGCACAGCAGCACTTGACTGCCACAAGAAACTGTGCTGCTGGCTGTGCTGGAAGTGATGGGGGAGCTGGCACCTTCAGGGGAGTCACCTAGAGGAGAGAGGAAGAGGCCTCCCTCCCTATCTTCCTACCATTTTGATGTAAAATCTTGCTTCCACCTCTGGTGAAGGCTCCCAATAAAGCAGTCGTTCCCCAGCTCCATGGGATCCATGGCCATGCAGGAGACTGAGAGGAAGCTGGGCTAAGTGGCTGGGCAGGGGAGGGAATGAAATTAAGTGGCTATGGGCCATCATGGGCACACTATATCCCATATGCAAGCTGAAACAGATTCATTAACACAATGCAATATAGCAGAATGGAGAAACTTCTGTGAAAGTTGTTTAGCTTTTTTCATTAGGAAACCTCTGCAGTGACTTTTCCCATTAATGCAAGGCAGAGATTTTTTGGGTTACTACCCACCAAAGCAGTTGTTTTGACAGCCAAGGCTGCCCATTTTCTTGCTGGCAAAGGGGAGGGCAGGCACCAAACCTGTTCTCTGCCTTCTTGCTGTGGAAAATGTCCATGCATAATTTATTCTACCCAGCTGCTGCCACAGTACAACTTTAATGCATGCTGACTCACCAGCAGAGCTGGGAAGGACAGGGCTGGTCTATTAGGAGCCACCTACAGCTCCCAGAGCCCCTGAAGATTAGGAAGGGGCAGGTCTGTGCTGTCCCTATCCCTTCCTCCTGCTCTTAACATTGCCATGTGGTCTGGAGCTCACAGCCTTTCCTGATGGGATAATCTGTGGCTAAACCCCGTGAGTACCAGATGGAGTTTGGGCCTGTTGGTTCACTGTGTTAATAATCCAGAATGTCATTAATTTCTTTCTTATGCATTGTGGCAGTTTTTAGTTGTGTGTTTGTGGGTTTTTTTTAAATGTGGTCAGATGGTGATGTCAACATGCTTTTCTGAGATCCCTATGGGGTTAGCCCAGTGCATATTTGATCATCCTCAGCTTACAAGACAGCTCTCTGAGGCCAAGATTTGAAAGCAGAGTTCCTGACTGAGCCAGCACAATGAACAAGACAAAAGTTATTTTTTCAGATGGGAAGGCTGCAGCCTTCAGCTCTGCTTTGCAAATGTGAAGCCCCACAAAAACCATTCCTCCCAGATGTTCACTGCTGAAATCCTGCTGCTATAAAGCACCTGCTCAAAATTAAGCAAATGCTTAAGCTCAAATTTAAGCTTTGCTGACCTAGGGTCCACCAGACCTCCAGACTAACAGGAGGAAGCAGCAGTGAGTCAGTACTGGTAGGTGGGAAAGGAAGAGCTGGCTTCCTCCCATATAAAAGAGATGAGGTGTGGGGTAAAGCAGGGAGAAAAGATCAGCTGTATTACTCTTATTCTGCCCGACATCAGAAAGATGATCAGGTGAAGTCTTCTGCGACTGACTGGTGTGGAAGTCTGGGTCACTAGAGGGTGTTATGTTTAGTGATGTTGCTGTCTAACTACCCAAGCCTTGGCAGCCCTCTCCATCTCTCCTGACCTGTTTGCACAAATACCTAGCACCTCCCAGGGTTGAGAAGTGGCTATAACAACCCAGTACAGTGCTAAAGCTTGTTGCTGTGTTGAGCTGAGGACCAGATAGAACCTGATGGACTATCTTAGGACCTCACTGCACAGTGCAGGATCTGCCCACAGCATGCATGTAGATTGGTATGGGGTTGCTTCCCAGCATTTCCAGAAAACTCTGGATTTCAGTATTAGAGAAATCTGCCTTCTTGCTCTGTTTTGAAGGCATATTTATGCTGGATTTGGTTTTATCAGCAGTGGCTGGTTTCTTCTGGTTTTGCTGTGGGTTTTTTTCATTTTGAAGAAGGGTTTTTCAGCTTTGACTTGGGCTGTGTCTGCCTCATCCAGAGAGATGGATACCCACTGCTGACCCTGCCATTGCTGGGGGATGCTGGGACACCCAGCAAGCACTGCCTGGTTTCTGTGCAGCCCTGGTAAGGAAACTGCTATGCAACAACATGAAACCTGATGTTTTTCATTTGAAGAAGATAATATTCTCTAATTATGGGCTTGTGATCGTGGTGCCACTGGCAGAGCTTGCTGCCAGACATTTCCCACTCCACAGCTGCCTATGGTTGGAGGTCCAACTTGCACTAAAGACTCAATTTTTGAGTCTAAATGTCCCAAAAGCTGGACCAGAGGCTATGCTTAGCCCTAACTCCTTGCAGCTCAGCCATCGCTCCTTTATCCCTCCTGACTGGAATTCCTGGCTCTCTAGCAGGGATGGAGGCTGGGAAAGCAGCAGGACCAGGCTTGTCTCTGCTGCCCAGCAACACTCAGACCAGATGGTACAAGTGACTCAGCTGTATGTTGCCAGTGAAGGGTGGCTTTGGTGGCTCTGCTGCCTGTATCTCAAACCTGCTCCTCTCCCCTCTATCACCCCTCCCTGTGCTGAAGCAGGACTGGAGTGTTATACCTAGGGAAGGGGTCACTGAGCACAGGCTCCCCTGTGCCTTAAAGCCTATAGAAAAGTAGAGTCCCTTTTCTCAGCAGTGCTAACAAGCCTCCAGCTGGGCAATAGGAGCTGTAATATGGCTTTTGTGGCTTTGATGTCTAGCCTAGAGAGGCATAAGGAGTTTGCAGACAAGTTCAGAAGTGCCACAAATCCAACTACTCCATGAACAGCAAAACAGAATTCACTGAGATCTAGAAAGTGGGAAGAAATCAATCCTTTTCCTTGTTGCCATTCATTTGCAGTGTTGGAGATAATTATTTACATTAGATAGGTCCTTAAAAATAACTTGACAGATCTCTCTTTCCTCAGCAGAGGCTGTCTGCACTACTGTCTGCAGGAGGGTTGCTACAGCTCTGCAGAATGGGGCACCCCAGAGCAAGGGGGGTCTGCCCCCTCAATTTGGTAGCTGGTTTGCCTAGCCTGGGCCGGAGGAGCAGCTGCAAAATCTCCTCTCCCGGAAGCAGTTTTTGCCTTGACCCACTGCCGCTTTGGGGTAAAGCATCCTTGGTTGAAAAGCCAGGTGGCAATGACCAGGAGAGGCAGCGGGCCGGAGTGATTCAGAGCCATCCCTCAGCCAGAGCCACCCTTTCTCATTGCAGGTTCAGTGGAGAGCCTGTCTCACACCACCTCGTCCCCGCAGCCATCGCCGGCTGCCTCCACCCACGCCTCCCGCATCGCCGACCCCTCCTTCTCGGTTGACCAGGCTGCTGCTGACGCGTCTGCTGCGGAGGAGACCCCCAGTGAGTCGGAGTCTGTCTTCCTCCCCGACTACCTCTTCCTCTCCAACTGCGAGTCAGGCAAACTCAGCCACAACAGGTAGGTCTGGGGTCTGCCAGATGCATGGAGCTGAAACCACCTTCTGCCTGCCCAGTGATGCCCTGGGAAACGGGGACGAACTGGTCCTTGGGCTCTGCTTCTCAGGGTAGGCTTCCGAGCACAACAGGGGCCCAGCACCCTAATCCAATTTACAGGGGGCTTTTAGTAGCACAGATTAGTGGTCAAACCTCATATGTTGGTCTTGACCTTTTCCAGGGTGAGTGGCTGGGAACCTCACACATAGCCTGCCTACAGGTGCCCCTTCTGTTAGCTGCTGCCCAAGATGCTTCACAAAGTGCCCAGCCCAGCGGAGGAGGGGCACTCCAGCCATGGGAAAGGGACAGATTTTTTTCCCAAACTGTGGGGTTGTTTGGGTTTTTTCTTCTGTGTGCTTGCTCAGTTGCAACCAGGAGAAGAGGAAAGCATAGGTCCTGACTTTTGTCTCTGTGCAGGTGTCACAGCTGGTCAAATTCGGACAGATCCCTGGAGCAAACCTCATCAGATGATGTCTTTGTTGACTCCTTGCAGTCTCAGCCCTCCTTGTACCTTGTACAGCCATCCAGCGCTGGCTCTGTGCACCAGGATGGGGCCCCACTGGCAAACCCTGGCACTGTGTCCAGGAGCATAGACATTAGTAGTCCACCCAGTGACTTCTCCTCCTCTTCTCCGCTACTGGGGACACCCCTGACACCAACGCTTCAGATTGACAAGAGCCAAAATGCACTGCCCTATGGTGTAACCACGCTGGATATCTTGTCCAACACGCCCCCACCACGGCCACCCAAGCCAACCCACTTCTCAGATAGGAGAGGGGATGAGTTGGGCAGCGGGGCCCTCCAGAATGGGCATGCAGGGATCTGCCGGACTCAGGTTGCTCTGGTGCCCAGAAGAATCTCCTTGTCCAGCTTAGACAACGTGAGGAACTGGAAAGGTGAGTACATTTCCAAGAGCCAGTGGAGTGGGATCAATGTAAGGGGTGGAGATGCGGTGAGCATAGAGCAAGTGCCCACCTCTGTGGTGCTTCCTTGTCCTCACCCTTGCAAAATCATACACCACCCAAAGCAACCTGAAATGCTTGTTTTAACATTGTTAGCAAGCAGGATTCAGACCTGTCCCTCACATTCTGCTCTGGCTCTTTAAAAGCTCCTCAGTGTGTATACATGTGCAGCAATTTGGCTGTTATCTCTTAAGGGTGCCTCATGACTTGTTAGTTTTCCATGCCCCCTCCCTCTGCAAAAGAAAAAGCAGCAGAAAAACAAAAATGAAAAGCCAGCCGCTGCATCAGGCAATGCCAAGCTTTCTATTTATGCAGGCCAGAATGGGGCCCTGCACATGGGAAATGGCTTTGCATGCAGTCCTTTCCATAACAGCAGTGTGTCTTTTTGCAGCTTAGACTAAAGAACAGGAAGCCAGGGAGACACTGGGGATGGGATGTAATCCTGATTGAACCAGGGACTCTGTGTCCTTGAGCAAATCCCACTCTGTCCTTGCACTTCAGTTAGGGCAGCCTGAAACCTGCTGTAGAGCAAGGCAAGGCTGCAAAGCAAGTCCTGCTCTGAGCTGAGATGACTTTTCCCTTGTTCTTGAAACACCATCATTGCAAACAAAAATAAGTTAAAAACCTGGAACATCAATGTGTGAAAAAAAACCAGCACATGCAAGGTGAGAGTTTTATTTTATGGAGCCACAGAGCAGAGGGAGGCAGCTGGAATATCTGGCTGGAAATCATCAAGTATTTTGTAGTCGTGTCATTTTTTATGAGGAAAAAAAAATTAGGTTACTAAGGACAAGCGTCCTTTACAGTCCTGTAGTTGGGAGTGATGAACTGGTGTTTGGAGCTGTTAGATCTTGCTCTTAAAGCTCAGAGGCTAAAGCAAGAAGACCTCTGCCCAGCCTGTTTATCAGTGTACAAACAATTCTTAGAAGGTTTCTGGAGAAACACCCATCAGTGGAACTGGTATTCTTAATTATCAGTTACACTTGGTTGCTCCCTGAAAGGTGCTGCTCTTGCTCCTGCACATGGGCTGCTCTAACACCCCCAGCACGCTTGACACAGTTAATGTCCTTCCATCCCAATTTATGCCAAAATGTTTTTAAGAGGATTAAGTGGTCAAATGTCCTGTTCTGCTACCGTGCTGCAAGGTTATCTATGCCTGACAGGGGGCAGCAATGAATTAATAAGTGCTGCTGGTTTTTTTCTTACCGTAAGTGCAGCTGAAACTATTTGAAAGGTTAAACTCTGAATTAAAATGTGTTTAACAAGAAAGGTTAGAAGAAGAAACTGGGAGAAAGCAGCTGTTTCTTGCCAGCTTCCAGAGTGAGCCTACTTGAGTTACTTACTTTGCTTTTTGCCTTTGGCAACCTGTAAAAGCTGAACAGATGTAACTAACCCAGTGCAAAGGCAGACTATGCTGGTTGTAGTGCCATGAAGAGAATGAACTGAAAGGCACCTGTATCCTGGCATCTGCTGAAGCATTGTGCCTGAATGTCTTTTTGCCAAAATAATAAATGTAGCTGCCCCAGGGCACTGGCTGTGTCTGTCTGAAGATATATCCACACTAACAGTGTTGCTTTGGTCTTGTTTAGCACTTTTGCCTTTTATGCTGATACCACCACAAAGACCCCTAGTTGCAATGCTGTATTGACATCTCCACTGTAAAAGCAGAGGCTGTATTTACACTGTTGCAGAGTTTTAAGGCATTCTCACAGAAAAGCCATTTTCTGCACAGAAGATAATTTTCCAGAAGAGGATGGTAGTTATAAGCATCTCCCACTGCTGATCTATGCACTGAATGCTGGACTTCCATTATTTATTTTTTTCCCCCCCTTTTGCTTCAAGAATAAAACACAATAATACACAAGGCAAGGCCAAGGGGACCCTGTTGCTGGGGACCTTTTCTTTGGCTGTAGGTTTCCTATGAGCTTGAGCAACTTGTACCACATCAGTATTTCTTGGTGACGAAGACAGTAATTTCTCTCCTACTATTAAGTTCCCCCATGTACCCTCTGTACAACGTGTGCTTCCCTGGCACCTTACATATGAGGCTTCCAAATAACTTTCCAAACAATAATGAATTAATATTCCCTACGGTCCCTTTTGATATAGTTTCCCTAGTTTGACAGATGGGAAAACAGTGACACTAGAGCAAGAGCTTGGTTTAATTTTTTGCTTGTTTGCTTGCTCTCCACACCACACCAGTCATTCTCCCCAACTGCTTGTTTAACAGCTAGACTATACAGGAACATGTTACTTGGTTTCTTCATACTTAGAATAGATTTAATTGCACTTGAAATTCTACTGAGTCGGTCCTGGTCTTACGTGTCATTGGATTTTACTAATTTACGATAAATACGGGGATTTATGGAATTTTTATAAAGCTCTAATTATTTTATAGCCATATGTTTTACTCCAGAATTATCTCTGTGAGGTTGCACTGCCTTATGACATTTTAATCACTTTTTTGCCTTGCAGCAGACATGGAAGGCAGTTCCTTAAGAAGTCGGGATAAGAGGCTTAGCTTGAATTTGGTAAGTAGTCAGCTTCCATAAATTTAAAACACTGGCATATGACAAACTTCAGAAAGTTAATCATTTCACATCCTGATATTCAAGCATTGCTCTCCTGTGTTGAGCAGAAGAATAAAAAAAAAATAAAAATAAATAAAATGGAAGCAGCAGCGGGTTAGCTATTCGTTTATTGACCCATTTCTCTTTCTTTTCCTCCCTTCTTTCTGCAGCCCTGTCGCTTCTCCCCGCTCTACTCGGCTGCTGCAGACAGCACAGAGGACAGCTACGTGCCCATGCGCCCCAGCACCTCCCCCTCCGTGCCCGGCCCCGACTGTTCACCCGACGGCTACATCCCCATGAGCCCCGGCTCAGCCACCTTTACTTTCCCTGTCGTCAGCACTGAAAAGCTCACCAGCCCTTTACCTGAGCTTCCCTCCGACCTGGAGCCCCCTCCAGTCAACCGAGACCTCAAGCCTCGTAGGAAATGTGAGCCCAGACCTAAAGTGCTATTGGCAGCCAGGGGGTCCTGATGGTGGGGACACGGGTGGCCTCTTTGATAGTGTTCTTGGCACATTTTGAAGTGCCTTCCACTTTAGAAGAAGGATAGAATTTCTGTGGCTTATACTACTGTGACATAGGATGCATCCACAGGGTTGTTCATGAGCAGAAGTGTCTGTGCCTACTGCTGCAGTAAGAGACTGGGTGGCTGCATTAGTGTGGTGCAGGGATTCAGATGCACTCTGACTGCAAATGACCAAATGGATGCAGCCTTGGAGAGACAGCAGACCAAACCCTGCAGCTCTGAGCTGTGTGTACTGCTGCCTCACCAGCTTCCTGACCTTCCAGGGACAGGACATCCATACACTCAAACCCTCAAACTTGATGTGTGGGCTGTTGGTTAAACCTCTTTGGGTATGTGCAGCTGTCTTGGTTTAATTAGGAATTTCCTGCAGATGCTTTTACTGATGGTAATTTTCCACTCCTGCTTTTCATGGTGTCTCCAAAATCTGGAGAATATACTGTGGACTTCCAGAGAATATTCTGGGGACATAATTCAGCTTTGCAGGGGATAAATTGCCTAAGTCCAGCCTACATTAGAGCTCTTTTGGCTGCAGAGCCACAGGGCTACTCAGACATTGGTTCAAGAAACGCTACTGTGAAGTGGGGACAGAAATTTAGACCATTGCCAGGAAGCAAAGCAAGGTCAGGTCTCTTCTTAGAGAGTTTTGAGAACAAGCTAGAAAATTTACATTTTCTGGTGAGAGGAATGACCTTGATCTCCACGTGTAAGAGCTTTAATTTAGAAGAGAGCCCCAAACCTGTTCTGACCTGTAGGCTAAACTGGCCTCTTCTCTTGAAGGTAACATATGCCCAGCAGATTTGAGGCAAGGAGATAGATCTTGTGGTGCATTTGCTCTCCTTATGCCCATTGTGTGTATTCTGTTATTCTGGGGTAAATCAAAGAATGGTAAATGGACTTTGCTTTCCAGCATTGACTGAAGTGGTCATTTGTTATTAATTTCTGTCCAGGTTATATCATTTATGTTCTGTGAAATACCCTGTTAGTTTCTTGCTGTTCATATAAAACTGCATTTTCCAAACAATCTGTATTTTTCATGAGCTCTGCTATTGGAAATGTAACCTCTTTTTGTATCTATTTGCAGCACGGCCACCTCCTCTGGACTTGAGGAACCTCTCCACAATTCGGGAGCATGCTGCTGTGACCAGGATGTGGACTGTGCCTTAGTAAGTCAACAAGAAACCTGCCATTCCAATCTTTTAAGCATCAACATTGTGGAACAGAGTTAAAAATAACTTGTCACATCCCCCAAGAAACAGCTTCCTGGCAAAGTCCACAAACAAAAAATCCCCAGGCCTACTCCTAGCATCCCTCAGGCTTTTGCTGTCTCTAAAAAGCAAGGCTGCTGGTGATAGGCAGCTCTAGTACATTCAGCATCACACGGTGATAGTCTGTTTTGAAGGTTCCTTATGAAAAGGCTGGAGCTGGTCTGCACTCTGGTGTGGTTGCTACAACAACTAAAAGTTTGCATGCTTTAATTACCTTTTTCAAGGTGATAGGCCTTTTTTGTTCCTGAAAATTAATATAGCAAAGGAGAACAAGATAAGATAAGCATCTGCCTGATCTCTAACCTGGGTATAGACTTCTGTACCACCACACAGCAATTCAGACTGGATCTGTTGGTGTTACCTTTTGTCACTGGAAATTTGTAGTGGGGTAAAACAAATGCATTTGGTCCCAAAGCCCAGGTAGTATGAACAGATTATACTGTTGGACTTCAAGGGCAGGGAAAGGCTCATCTTCAGAGAACTCATGAGCAGGAGAGAACTGGTGCCTGCTGGCTGGGGGGAGATCCTGATGCTGCAGGGAAAAGCTGGGTGCTCTGGAAAATGTGGGTTTTTACTAGCGTGAGGGCTAGACAGGGGGTTTCCACTCCTCCACCTCAAGTAGTCATTTGGAGGGCAGAAGAGACATGAGATGGGCAGTTTCTCAGCTGCAGACCCCTCTCTCCAGTACACTCCAAAGCCAGATAAGCCCTTTGGCACTGCCTGCCATGAGCTGCCTGTTAGGGAAACCCAGTAGCCTGCCTCCTGAGCATCCCTGCCAGAGTGCTGTGGTTAATTAGTGCTGACACAGTGCAGAGTCCTGAAGGATAATGAGCTCAGAGGGAGTTTGCATGTTTTACATTAACAAAACTAAAAAAAAAAAGTATGCCTGGAACTAATAAAGCAAAAGGAATTATGATGCTTATGCTGTACAAAGTGGCCATCTAATTTCCTAATCACTAACCCCCTTGTGCTAGCCTGCAGTGATTTACTCACAATATACCCCCAAGGGTTATGTCAGTGGAAGAGATTTCCTCGTTCAAGGGCTGAGTCACAGCCACCTCTACAGCACAGGTAGCACGTGTTCACACAGTGTTCAAAGCCAGACAAGTTCCTCTGATTGTACACCCAGCAGTTGATTAATTCACACTGATTTCCAAAATCTGGATACCCACACAACTAAGTAACTGCCCCATCAGCACATATTACCTGGATGAAAGGTATCTGTTTCTTAGTCCCATGTTGGAGAATTGCTCCAATGGTTTCTGTCATACCAGAGATGGCAAACTTTCATAAATCCCAGAGAAAAAGAAAAATCAACCAAAACACTCCTCGCAATATAGCACACTTTTTCTACAACTAAGGAGTGGTTTCGGACATCCTCTCCATAAAGGCTGCAGCATTAGTGTGAATTTAGTCACCATATGGACTGTGTCAGGCTTTGGCTTCATTTCAGAGCATCTGTAAGATGCTTCCTTAACCTCTCCTGTGTTTTTCTTCATAGCAATCGAATGAGCTTTATCTCACCAGAAAGAGACGGTATTAATTCAGCAAGAATATTTGCCAATTCAGTTTCCGGAGAAGAGGAAGAAAGTTACATTCATATGGTAATCTTCATTTTCACACAGCCATCCTTTGCTTTATTCTGCTCTGTCACATTGATGGAGAATGCAGAAGTTTGTTTTCTAAGAAAAAATATTGAGGAGGTTTGTCCTTTGCATTCTGCTTTTTTTTAAAGAAATGATGAAACGGTTTTAAACCAAAGACACTGGGACCAATTTACAGAGAGATAAGGGAAGCCCTTCTTCTGCTCTGCAGAACTCAGCTGTTCGCCCACAAATGTTGCTGAGCAGTTCCAAGAGATCACAGAGATCAGCCATATTTACATGAGAACTCATTAAGGCAAAGGAAAATTAAATCTTTTCACCTTTTACAAGTGTGCCCTGCAAAATCTCCTAGGAAATGATAGAAAGCTGTTAGTGAGCTTCCTAGAGAAACACATCAAATATTGTGCAGAAACAGAATGCCTATTAAAGTCTCTTATTGCTTCTGCTTTGGCTGGTGGCACTAACCCCACTTCCCATCCCATGAAAGAACAACATCTGGCTTTGTGGCTTCCTTTTCTTGATTCACTCTTTAGTCATATCTTACAAAAGATCAGAATCTTAGTTTCCTTTGAATTTTAGGTGGAAATGCATCTCCAGTCCCTTGATCTGAGTCAAGGCCTACAGATTTGGCTCCATAACCAAAGCCCAATGACTACAGAAATATGTTGCAAAACTGACCACAGTCTCCATGAACCATAGTCTCAAATTTGAACCCACACCTATACTAGATCAAAATCTCATTAGGAGGGCAGTTTCAGTTCTAACTACTCCCCATTTGATTTTTCTAGTAAAATAAAACCTCCCATACATTTGTGACCATTGGTGATTTTACTGACATTAATTTTCAGTTGCTAGATTTGAACAGAACTATCACCATTTCTTCAAACTCATAGAACAATGGCAGGTAAAAGGGCACCCCTGCAAATATGAGCCTTCCAAGGGTTTGGGTTGAGAAGTCCTGGGCATGAGTCCTTCCTAATAGCACTGAAAATCAGCCCTGTTGGCTTGTTTTGCTATAATTACCAGGACAAAAAGGCTTTCACAGTTTCTTTATGCCAACCTGCAATTAACCAGTGTTATCCCGTGGTTCATCACCAAATGCACCCTTGACATAGAAAATTAGATGTGTGCTGACCCTCCTCAATTGTGTTCTGCTAGACAAGTCCCCACCCAGTTGTGGGTGGTCCTGCTTTCTGTTGGCATCAGGTTTTAAGAGCATTAAAATTTTTCTTCTTTCCCAACAGGAACACAGACAGGCAACATCTCCATACAGTGGTGCTTTTCCATGGACAAGGAAATCTAACCTTGATTACTTAGCTTTGGATTTTAATTCTGCTTCCCCATCCCCTGTGCAGAAGGTATGAGTCATCTGAAAAACCCCACAGCCTCCTATCTTTTTGTCTGCTGGGAGGAAAACGAGCAAGAATCAGACTCTTAAGTGCCACAAGTACCATCCTCAAGCCAGTTGTGTTTCCAGCTGACTGCATTTGTGACAGGCTCAAGATTAGTATAATAAAAGTGCTATTAGAGTGATGACAAGGTGTCCTCAGCCTGACTCATAGGCAGGCCATTAGTACAAGCTTGGCAGAGGGTACAGGGCTACTTTGGGATGTGCAGACATGAGGCCTTGTGGGCAAGCTTGTTGGTGCTTGCAGGATCTTTGCATGCTCTTTCATTTTCATCAAGTCTCCACAAACCCTTTCCTGCTAATTCCCCCCAAATCTCCGCAGTAACAAGTTTACAGCCCATGATAAATGCACAGGGTAAAACTACCATCTGTTGTAACATGGCAAAATATGCATCTTTATTCTTGCATCACCAAAAGCTTTTCAATTTCCTTAGCAATGCTAAGAAAATAAATTCCTTGTTCCAAAGAGCTTTAACATGCCCTGGTAGTGGGCAGGTACCACTGCAAAGCAATGAACTGTTGTTGGTTTGTGCCACTTTATGTCCTTTTTATCATTTTCCCCATCATCTAATACTCCTGGATGCAAAAGACTCAAGACTCCTAAGCTTTCTTATTTAAACCCTCCCTGTAGTTAAAATGAAGGTAGGTTATCCCTGCAGCAGGTTCACTTGGGTGAGAAAGGAATTAATATCTGCATGGAAGTAGCCACAGCAGCACGTTTCCCTTGCTTGCTGTGCCGGGCTGAGTGACAGGCTGACAGATGGATAATTATAGCTAAAGCAGGCTGTAAAGCAATGCTTTTGTCAGCTGATGTCACTGTGAGCTTCAAGGTGAAGTGAAGCAATCAAGGAACAAGTGAAAAGGAAAACAGATAAATCAAGCCAAGTTTCACTAGTGTGGCTTTTCAACCCTAAAATTAATGTTCTTTTCCTTTCTCTCACACAGAAACCTTTTCTCTCTGAGGAGCAGAGAGTAGACTATGTCCAGGTAGATGAGCAGAAGACTCAAGCTTTACAGAACACTAAGCAAGAATGGACAGATGAGAGGCAATCAAAAGTCTAAAGGAAGAAGAGTTGAGGCCTGGAGGATTTATATTTTTTTTTTGCACTGGAACCACAATATTAATGAAGCAGCTATCACAGTAGAGTTCAAAGGCAGAGAGAGTTGTAAGATGCTTGCGATCTGTAGAGGAAAGGCATTTTTAATGGAAACCTTTGATTTCAGCTGGAAATAGTATGTTGAATGAGCGAGTGGTTCACTGATGATTGAAGTAATGCATTACCCATTTTACTGCCCTTACCAATAAGCTACATGGTACCATTTTCTGGCATGATTCTGTGACAAGTCATACACTTAAGTCCACTACATGTTGCATTAATCTAGTTAGTCCTGCCTTCTGTTGCATAATTCTAGTTGCTAAAGCTGTTTTTTTATATTCCTACCAATGCGGCAGTTGCTCAGAGTGCTTTTATGGCAGTGGGCATCTGACAGGTATTGGTGACTAATCAACTAAGGGCTAAAATACTGAAACAAAAAGAACTTTTTGAATATATAGTGCTTAAGCAAAGAGAACTTTGGAAGATATTTTTCCCCCAGGTTTAAAGGTCTGAGTGAGCAGATGCTGTCAGACACTCCAAACAGGACTGTGGACCAATGGGACTGGAATGTGTGGTCTTCGACCTTCTGGACAACAGTCATCGTATTAAGCTTCTCTCCATTGTGGCTCATACTTATTGCCTTTCTGTCTGATTCCTACTGATGTTTTCTCCCCTGTCTTGAGGAGCACCTTCAGCACAGTACAGCACAGCTGCTCCTCTAGCAGGAGACTGCAGGCACACAGCTCTTGGCTGGCCAAAAAATAGAAAGGGAAGCTGTGAGCCTGTTTCTGCAAGTCTCCGGAGAACTGGCAAAGGATCAAGAATGCTTTCATCTGAACTGCAGAAGAAATGCCATTGGAATTGCTGGTAGCAATTGTTTTACTAGACCAACCCCCCCAAAAAAAGAGAATTAGGAAGTGCAGCGTGCTCCGAGGGAGGCCAGCAGGCCTGCCAAAAGAAAACAATGTGCTTACGCAGCATGAGGACCTCTGGGTTCAGGAAGCTTATCTACCTTGGGACTTGTTACAGGCACTATCTCAGGATGACATATGTGTATAGTTTATAAACATATTTAACTTTAAAAGCTTGGCTACAATCTTTAATTTAAGGCAGCACACAGCCACTTGAATCATGGAAGTATGCAGTACTGCTGAGGGACCCACACTGGATTTGATCTTGCAGGCTTTGCCCATGTGAGTGAGTCCCACTGGCCATGAGAGGTCTGATCCTGCCAGCAAGGACAGCCAGCCAGGACCCTTGCAAAAGATTTTCTCTTTGTGCCACATCATTGGCCTCCCTTCATGTGCCTGTTGCTACCACGTTGCATTACTATAATCTGACAGCCCAAAAATGCTGATTTACCAAACAGAGGATGTAGAAATGTCATTTCAGGAACTGCTGGCATTCCTCCTTGCTGTCCTCCATGCACTCATTCTGCTTCAGCCATTTGGGCACTCGGGGAGGCCGAGTCGCGGCCAAGTGGCACGTCCTGCTGGGAAAGGCAGCGCAGCTAACAGGAACACCTTTTTTCTCCTACCTCAAGAGAGCTGAAGTGCTTGCAAGTCTCGCTGCTTCTTTAGAGCAAATACGAAGCTGAGGATCTGTGGTGACCAGGCTGTTACTGGCTTTCCCTGAGAGAACAACAAGGTTCACCAGCACCCTTATTGACTGTGGGGCAAACTGTGCACCCAGGCCTGTGGGCATAAAGTGTTCTGGACTGGAGCTGCTTAGAAAACTGGGGTTTATACTGCAGATAGTTGTCCTGCTGTTTCCTTCTACTCTGCTCCTCCCCTGCCACCAAAGCTCTAAAATGAAAGTTAGTGTTCATACAAGTTTAGAAGATAATCCAGACTTTTCTGTATAAATCTTGTCCGACTGGTGTGAAATTTAGTTTGTTAAAACCCAGTTGTTTTTTTCCTAAAACTGGCTGAGGAGAGGTCTCAGTAACCGTGCCCTGTGTGTGGCAGTGCTACAGGGGAAGTGGTTTTGGGGCGAGGAGGTGGAGATCTGCACCTCCCTCGAGGTGTTAGAGAAAATTAAGCAAGGGAGGGCCACAGTTAGGGAGGCATTTGCCTTTCTGCTCAAAAGAATTGCCTTTTTCCAAGGTGTTCAAATAATGTATGTTACTGAAAGCTTTTGGTGTATGCTGCAGTGCTGAAAGAGTTAAAAGACCAGCTAAAACCTCTGTAACAGTAGGGGACAGAAAACATCCCCAAAGGGCAGGTAAAATTATGCTGTGCTCCTGCAGATCCCACCTTGCGGACGGCTGGCTCGGCAGCCTCCCAGCGCCTTGCAATAGCATACAAATCAGCTCATGTGTGACTGGAGTGGTTCTTTTCATGCTGTCAGAAAGTCTTCTGAAGTGGAAAAACACCAAGTTATTGGAGACAACCAACTCACATGTTATCCTAGTTTCTTGTAAAAATATTTAAACTTTGACAAACCTGGCTAACAGATCAGTCAGAAGTTTAGAAAAGAAAGAGCTGTTTTGATATTTTTCTTTTTCCCCTAAAAGGACATAAGCATATAGCTTGGCAGGGACTGTCCTTGGATCAGAATAGCACCCTCTCAACTTCCTCATGTCCCCTGTTTGCCCTCACCAGTCTATTATCTTGATCAAATGTTGCTCACTGGTTTCAAACTTTCACTTTTTACCTAAAAGCTAAGTTTGGGAGTTTATTCAGATGTTTCATTTAAGGTCTGTTTATACCTGCTGCTCCAAGGCCTGTGCCATGCAATCTTGTGTTAGCTCAACACATGAAACAGGAGCAATTTTAAAAAATAAATAAAAAATAAATAAATTTAAAAGCAGAGCAGTCCTCCCCCAAGGCTTTTTTATCTTTTTGTTTTAGACAAATTCCACAATAATCCAAAGAAGGTAAAGAGGAGGAGGATGGTTAGAGTCCATATGAGGCAAAGGCCATATCTACTGGGGCCACCCCATTATTAAGGATTCTGGTGCAGTACAAGACTCACGTACTGATGGGCTGCCGTGCTGGGAGCTGCAGCAGCCCAGGGCCAGCACCCATAGAGCCTTCTGGTGGGAGAGGAGGGACGTTACAGAGCGAAAAGGCGATGCTGTTTAATTAAGTTTGTTCTTCAATACTGATCCTTTGGCTGAAGAGGAAAGAAAAGCTGTGAAAGCACCTGGAAACTGAGTCAGCTTATGACAGCATCATGTCTGAATATGCAGTCCAGGCAAGACCCCCTGGTTAGCACTGTGCCTGGTATCAGCCAAGCACACTCCTGGCAGGGTCTGCTTTTGCTGTGGGTCTGTTAGGTTGAGGATTTCTTTAAAAAGTATCATTAGACTTGATACATAGAGAGGCTCTGCACCTAAGGGAGCATGGGGTGGCCAGTGGTCCCTTGGGAAACTCTTTATCTCCTGGGAGAATTGGCATGGTCCAGCTCAGGACTTGGAGTGCCTTCTCCAGAACTGCTGGAATTTCTTGTTTAAAATGGAGAGGAGCACTAAGTGAGCAGAATAGGTTTTGCTTAACTGGAAATGTCACTGCTTGGAGTTGTCTGATGAAGCTCGATTGCAGAACGATGTGGAAACCATACAAGGTAAATGGTTTCAGTGCTGTGGTTGTTGTTAGGTTGATCATCTGGGATCCCCGCACTGCTGGCATGGCTAGTGGGAGAACTGGAATGCCAACACTCATGCATGGGAGGAAGGAGATCACAGATGAGCTGGATCTCTTTTACTGACATTTTCTGTGGCCACTGAGCATGAATCAGCCTGCATCAAACCCAGTCTTGAATTACATCCTGAAGAATCATAAAGCAATCTGTCTGATCTGGGCTTCTTTCGTGGAGTGAGCAGGATTTCAGTACTCACTAAGAGCTGCA